ATATTCTTGTATTGTTCTCCAATTGAATTGTAGAGTATTGGGCTAGGAGGTATTTTCAGAGGTCATCTACCCCAGCTCCTACTAGACTGATCAAGTTAAACTTAGTGAGCTCTTTCTCTAGCCTAGTCAGATTACATAAATACCTTGAGGAGGAGTGTTCCTTCTGTATGCACATGTGGTGTGTATGCATTGTATGAATGTGTGCATAAGTTACATACATATGTATATATTTTACACACACACACAGTGGATGGACCTGGAGTCAGGAAATCCAGTTGAAATTCAGCCTCAGATTACTTATTAGCTACATGACCTTGGGCAAATCACTTAACTTCTGCCTGCCTCGGTTTCCTCATCTGTAAAAATGGGGATAACAATAGCACCTCCTTCCTAGGGTTGTTGTGAGGATCACATGAGACATTTGTAAAAACACTTGGTAAACTTTAAAGTGTTATATAAGTGCTTGTTGTTGTTCAGTTGTATCTGACTACGTGACCTTATTTGGGATTTTCTTGGCAAAGGTACTCAAGTGGTTTGCCATTTCTTTCTCCAGCTCCTGGAACTAAGGCAAACAGGGTTAAGTGACTTGCCCGGGGTCAACAAGCTAGTAAGTGCCTGAGGCCAGATTTGGACTCATCTTCCTGACTTCACCACTGAGCCACTTAGCTATTATTGTTACATAAACACATGTATATGAGATCAAACACAAAACTGCACAAAACCGCTTGGAGCAGCAGATAGAGAACTGGCACTGGAACCAAGAAGACCGGGGTTCAAGTCCTGCTATTGAAACATACTGGTGGTGTCACCCTGACAACACCAAACTTTTCAGTGTTCTAGGAAACTCTCTAACATTATATATTGAAGAGAAGATGCTGACTTTGCATTGATAGAGGGAGTTTGCTCATGCAGGGATTTACCTTTACCCCTGAAATCACAGTTCAACCTGTATCCCTTAACCTTACATAACAATACACATTATGCTATACAGGTATTGGAGGCATTCAGAGAAATTCTTATCAATACAAGGGCTGCTATGGAAAAAGAGGGATTATATTTATTCTGCTTGACCCCAAAACTAGAACGAGGGACACAATGAATGATAATTACAATTTTGCAGATTTTGGCTTTAGACAAGGATAGTTTCCTGGCCCCAAACAGAAGGAGCTGCCACGTGAAGTTCTGAGCTCCCCATTACTAGAGGTGTTTTTCAAGGATGTTGGTAAGCAGATTTCATTTTCAAGTCAGAGTTGGAATAAACGACCACTGAGGCTCCTTCCAAGTCTGAGATATGATGTACCAAACTAGAGACTTACATTGGCAAGGGAGCTTAGGCATACTTTCTTTAAGACGATATCCTGTGGTAGAATCTCGGATGTAAAACAAGAGATGTGGATCCGAGTTTTGCCTTTGCCCCATACACGTGATCTGACAACTTGAACAAGTAAGCTTCTTCTCTTCTGTTTCTTTAAACAACATCAATTCTTTCAACCATATCTTATGTTACAGTTTCTGGACCCCTTGCCATTCTGGTCACCTTCTTTTAATACATTTTCCTAAGATGTGGCACCCATAGTTGGACAAAATACTTCATATGTAGTCTGAGTTGCAGCCTAAGAGCTATTTTGGCAGCTATGTTATACTGATGGTCTTATAGTCTGCGATCAACTAAAATCTCTGGGTGCTTTTCGCTTGAAATGGCTGTCATCTTTCTGCTTGTGTAGTCGATTTTTTAAAAAAACTTAAACACAGGCCTTTATGTTTAACCCTCCATTAAACTTCATTTTATCTTTTTGATTTAGGCATATAAAACCAGTCTTTCAAAACATATTTGAATCTTGATTATTAGCTCTTTTCAGATTTATCATCTAAAAATTGATAAGTATATCGTTTTGTCTTCATCCATGCCTTGGTAAGAATGTTGAACAGGATAGTGTCAAGGTTAGAGTTCTTCAGCAGGTCACTTTAAGTTAACCTCCAGATTCACATGGATTCATTCATCAAGACTTTTTGGGTATGGTTCTTTAGCCAGCTATGAAGCTCTGTAAACATATTGTTAGTTTGATCATGGTAGAATTATAGAAATGTGGAAGTGAAAAACAACATAAGAGTTTAGTCCAGCCACCTGCTTGAATATACTGAGTGATGGAGAAATCACTACTGTATGAGACATTTCATTCCATTTTTGGTCAATAGAATGTTAAGGATTTTTTTTTATTTTGAGCCCCAATATGCTTTCCTGTAATTTCCCATTCATTGATCCTAGTTGGATATACTGCAGCTAAGAATGAATTTAATGCTTCTTCTGTGTTATAGCCCTTGCAATAATGAACATGGTTGCCTCTAGTTTTATCCATGTTAGACATCCCTACTTTTCATCACCATTTTTGATACATGGACAGAAAAAGGAAACTGTTACACTAATATAAGCTATTCTTTCTTATTTGAGCTTTACAACGTTATGAGGTACACAACGCTAATAGGATCTTCGTTTACAAAGGAGGTAACACATTTATAGAGGTGGAGTGATTTGCTTAATGTAACTGCTAGCAACACTATGACTCAAACCCAGGCCAGAAGGGTTGAAGTCAGTGAATGACTTCACATTCACTGCTTATTACATCATGTCCCCCTACCACATTTCTAAAGTATTTGAGGGTAAGACCTATTTCATAGCAGTAGAGGGAGTGTTCACTAATTGTGGAATGATTGTCACTAAGTGTCCTTTCCACCATAATCATTCTATGATTGAGTTGGGAAATTAAGTAATCAATCAGTGACCTCCACGATGACCAAAAACCACAGATAAACTTGGTTGGCATGATCCTTTCATTTGGCATTCCCTGATTTTATTCTTTCTTCAGAAGCAACATCACTATTCCATTCCTCAAATATGGTTCATACATCTGAAATATCCTGGTTCTTTTCTTTCTTTTATTTATAGGTCTTTATGTTTACTTGCAATCTCATCACAGGGAAGCCAGGATATCTCTGGAAAAATGCCAAATCATGATGTAAGTTCACTAGTTTCAAGTAATTTATTACCTTCTGAAAAGAAATATTGGGTAAATTACTTCTATAATCACAGCCTGCTGCTCCTAACTGTGAATCCCTCTAGATATGCTTATCCATTTATTGGTTCCCTCAACCCCAAAGTTTCACACTCAGTGAAGTTAGGCCCATCCTTTCTTGTAAGGATAATGAAGATGAGAAGGGAAGGGATAGAAAATGTAGTACCATATACTAGTCTTGAGAAGGGTAGTATGGCTCTGATTTCAAGTCATGTGCATAGTGTAAATATCACTGAATGCAGGACACTGATTTGGGTCCTGAGTTATGCCAAGAGAGAACTACCCAAGGGGCTAAAAACCTAAATAAAATAGAAACATAAATGAAGGAGATGGGCAGTTTCACAAAGTGGAAAGCAGCATATTCTGAAAACCGTTTTTTTTTTTCTTTATTTAGTCAGAACTGAACCCAACTTCCTCTTTTTAAGGAATTTTTTTGTGACTGGTTATCAACAATGGATTCATGGAAGAAAGTTTTAGGAGGAAGTCTAAAAGATAAGTTGGCTTTGCCAGTACAGGTACAAGGAGATAATTTCCAATAAGAGTACAGGAAAGTCAATCTCCTATGGTATTCAATGTTGTCATGGCACAGGGCATTGGGAAGAATTTTTAGCACAAAACACCTCACTAGAGAAGGAAAAAGCTTCTTAGAATCAAACTTCTGAAGACCCTGGAATTTAATGTCTTGCTGAAGAAGTGAAGGAGGCAGAGAGAAGATGTCTTAGGATGTTAGTTCCTAGAAATACACCTCTCAGTTTAACATCTAACATTGAGAATATATGAAGAAGGGATTGGGAGAGATTTGGAGGTAAGGGCAAGAAACTTGAATTTCATGTTAAAGAATCACTAAAGGAACTTTCAGGCACAGTGCCATGGTTTGAGTTTTAAAACAGGGAGACAGAACCTAAGAAATGAGCCCATGATTCTTATGAAAAGAGTTAAAATCAAAGAAACTGAAATAGGTGTAGGAGTGAAGGTCAGAAACAAAGCCAAACAAAGCAGGCTGAACATGGAATTTTTAAATGAGGCAACAAAATGTAAGCATTTAATGGCTGTCCGAAGACAAATAAAGAGTCTCTAGGGGCCAGGGATCCTTATCTTAATGATTGAATGAAGAAATCAGAAAAGTAGGATATATTCTATGTTGTTGTTGTTGTTGTTTTTTTTAAAAGAGAAACAGTTGACTAAAAAGTATTTCCTTTAAGTGCGAACTGTTAAATGTGCCACTGGAGAGGATTCTACCATGTTTTTCACATCTGAGACTGCCTGACCTGGAAGAAGGCCTTTCCTTTCTCTGAGGAGGAATCCTTTTTGCTAGCCATTCTCCATCCTGTGGTCATACTATTATGGTTCACCCAGTAGCAGTCCCTGATTCTCGAATCATAGGAATTCAAGTGGAGATCATCTAGTCCAAATCTCATATTTTACAGAGGGAAGAAACAAGAGGCCCATAGAAGGGAAGTAAACGGCTTGACCAAGATCATTTAGCTAGTAAATAGCAAAACAAGGACTCAAACCTGGTCTTCTTACTCTAAATTCAAGGCTTTCTTCAATATGCCAGGTTATTCTGACCTGACTTGGTTCCATCCAGGTCAGACCTCCTAACTTTAATATTAACAATATTCTACACTCTGCCCCCCCCCATTAGATTACTATGGAAATACGTTGCTTGGCTAGAACTTTATTCAACTATTTTTAATCAAACTTTCCCAATATTGACTGGAGGACTATTTTTGATTTTTATGACATATTAAACAAAAAGATCTGAAGCAGTTTTATTCTCCAAGGTTGCTTGATTGAATCCTTCTCTTTAGAGGCAAGATCCTTAAGAACGTACAGAGGAAAAAAATGTAACAAGAGCCTTCTTAAAAAGGAAGGAGATGTATCTGCACTGAAGAGCAGAACCAAAAGAAAAGAAATTACAACGTGGACTTCACTGGTAACACCTTTTTAATAGGTCAAAGTAACTGTACAGGTCATTATATTCTTCCTGAGAATAATTTATTTCCCCCAACAAACTAAAGGGAGTGTATTTTTTCATTATTTAACAGAAAGGATGGCATAACTGGAAAACAAAAGAAAACACGACCCCTCTGTGGGAGTGCTCTCCCCAGAAGGAGGACACACAATGATGGGTTAGTTAACTACAGCGGCTTTTAAAATATTCAACATGGCTTTAATCTTTCTTTATAAATTATATAAAAATGGGGAACAGGGATGGTTACAGAACCTCTTTTCCAAATGCACTTTAAGTGTGCTCTGGTACAAAGCAGCATTTCTGCTTTCATGGAAAATAACATTGCTACAAAAAACTGGCACATTATTCTGGTGAAAAAAGAGAAGAGTTTTTTCAATTGTGTTCTATAGCTACTTTCCAACCAAATGTTTCACACATCCACATGAAAGGAAAAGGCAGGAAAGATGGAAAGAACTTTAGTTTGTTCTGAAATGACTGAAGTCTTCAAAATATAGCTTTGATTTTCTTTCTCTGTAAATTGGGATTAGCATATTGTAACTTAAAGTATTTCAATTTAAAAAAAATTCCAGTCTGGATAATATCTGTACTGTAGGCAAAAGAATTCTCAGCCCTTTGGGTTTCCCAGAATTCTCCATCTGACAATACTTTTTTTTTCCCCCTCAATCTGCAGCTTGTGCAGTTCAAGCTTTAAAATTTTAATCCCTTGACCCCACTGGGCACACACATCCTCTAGAACGGTATGAAAAATGAAACTGTTCTTCATAAGTCTTATGAGCTTCTTGTGTACAAACTTCAGTCTCAAAGTGTCATATTTTTGGATCCCAGACCGTTTGAACGTCATGATTAAAAAAACAAAAATAAAAACAACAAAAATCTGTGGTTAAACTTGAAATGAGCAACAGTTTTCCACCAGCTGGATCAGGAGTTGGTGACAACCCAAGGAATACACAGGATTCATCTTCACTGCTGGTGGAAGGCTGGATGACTTCCTCAAAAAAGTGAGACTGAGACAACTCTTACACATCTTCCCTTGACAAGAAGCTCAGTGTGGCCTGGCCTGCCCCAGCATTTTCAATCTTGCTTGATCAATGACATCTAGTAAGTTTTTGGCATCTACAGCCAGTGCATGAGCGGCAGTTAGCATTTGCTTTTTGTATTCCTGCTGGAGGCTGGTCATGACGTATTGTTGTGCCAGTTTCATCTTGTTGATCAGCTCACCCAAGTCCGAATTCAACAGCTTTTGGGCCATCTCAATCTGGGAGAAAAGAGAGTCAGGTCAGAATGGCAGATGGCAAATTGCAATTATTTAAGGATTTTTCTTTGTATACTGGTTAAAATGAACAAGAGCTTGGGGAGCTCATATGGGAAAAGGACTCCCACTGTGTTTTCTTACCCATAATCTCCACTTCAGTAAACCCATGCACAAGTACTTCATAGGGCCCTCCCTTCCTAGTGGTCAGAGCCCTATGATTTTTCTTTCTTGCCCATTTCAAAAAGTGTCTAACTCTTCTTTCCAAATACATCGACCACAGTGCTAATGTAACAAAAACCAATACCTTCCCCCCAAGTATTCATAAAGTAGACTAAGAGCCCAGCCATCTTCTCATATCACCACGAAAGTCCTTTGACTCTGTTAAACCAGATAGAATCTGTGAGAAGGAATTATTTGGGGGGTAGGGAAATGGCCTGGCCTTGGTCTCCTTTCCATTTCCCCTCTCCCTTCTCACTCCAGCCACAGGAGGACCTAAAGACTTTAGAGGATTAGAGAATTTGGACCTTTTCATCAGTATTCTAAAGGAGCCTAGCAAAAAAGTTACACCACACTTAAGAGGAACATCTTGAGGACCATAGCAAAATAATTTCTAGGAGCTGTGGATCCCCTTTGCCTTATGCGCTCACTAAACTTGAGCCTATTTTCCCATGAACTCTCTATGGAGTTTTGGGAAAGAATATCAGAAACTTTTTTTAGAGGGGGAGGTGGGGAGAAGAGGGGGATGTTTTGTACCAAATATCCTTGCTATAACACCATAACAAATACCTCTAACTAATAGCTATTATGTCTGGCTAACTAATTGATATTTGTTGTTAATCATGAAGCACACCAGTAGGGGCTCATGAGTTACATAGCACTAGAAAAACAGCTCTGGTAATAGGTCCTTTCAAAGACTACAGATAAAGGATAAAAGAAGAGAATGCAAAAAGCCTGTCTTTCTCTAAAAGGGCAAGGCTATTTTGTGTGGAAGAGCATGAAGACTTGTCCTGCTTCCTTTTAGGCAAAGAACCAATGCCTGCAAGAACTGATAAAGGACCTTGCCTGAATGGCTTAGTGTGAGGATCCCATTACTGCATGCGCCATCTTAAACACTGCTCAAATTTTCTTCAGAGGTAACATTAACTATGATTCCCAAAGCACTGAACTAGAAACGAAAGTTCTTACCCTCTAATACATAGACACCTAGGGTTTCATATTGATTCTGGAGTATCTTTTATGCACAATGACAGCTTTAGAGGACTCTGTGGAATAAACAGCAGTAGGAAAGGCAAGGAAGCTAAAGTGCGTTAGAAGGATAACTGTACCCCAAACGAGAGAGAGATCAGTTTAATGGAAAAGAGCACTGGACTGGGAATCAGGAGAGTTGGGTTCAAGTTCTGACTCTACTATTCACTAGCTAAGTGACTACAGGTTAAGTCACTAGTGCTCTGAAAGTCTCAGGTTCCTTATTTCTAACATGAGGCTACAATGGAGTTTTATGAGCAGGGTACTTTGGAAACATGCAAGTGCTACTTACCAATGTCACTTATACTTATTTGGGGTGAGATTATGAAGACTGATGGGAAGGGCACTGATGTTGTTGGGAAGAAAAGTTGTAACAAAAAATAGTTTCTCTCTAACTCTGTGTTCAGAGGTCTTTTCCAGTTCTGGGACTCTGCTATTCAATGAATTGAGCTCAACAGACCTTATTAAGGACTGGAACGTGCAAGGCCCCAGGCTTCCTAGGAACTGAGGCAAAACAGTATGCGCTTTCTCAAAGGCATTTTGTTACTCAGTAGTTGGGGACTTTTTCTACCCCCACTGATATGTTGCTCCTAGAGACTCTAATGGCTTGGCATTATGGGAATGTGCTTCGCTTGTTCTGCAGACATAGTTCAACCTCTGCCTGTCCAGAACAGATGGGAAGGCTCCAAACTGCATTGTAATGTTTGTTTTGATCAAGGCAAAAGATACAGAATCCTCTCAAATTATTTCTGTCCTCCTCTTATAGTCTCATGTTACATATTCGCTCTTTATCTGAGAATGTTGGTATTTTAGTATGCTCAAGTGACTAACAGCAAAATCAGAACAGCTCCTCTACATGGCACTTGGAGGTTTGCAAAGTGCTTCAACTACATTATTTCTTTGATTTTCACAACTGTCAGTGCTGTAGCTAATGCCATTCCCATTTTACAGATGTGGATGATGAGGTACAGAGGGATTAACAGACTTGCCCAGGGTCATGTGGCTAAATTCAGGCACTCCTCATCCCAAGTCCAGGACTCTATCCACTGTGCCTTTCAGCTCTCTGCAAGGCACCTCTCTAGGGCGGAAGTGAATCTGGAATCAATCATATTACATGAAGCCAGGCTCCTGAGTAGAGGTGACCAGCCCCACTAACAAGGGCCCAAGGAGAAGGCACACGTCAAAGACTTTGCCTTACCTCTCTGTGAGTGCTTGCTGGGAGCATAGGAATGGTCTCATCCACTGTTGCTAGCAACGTTCTTAGGGCCAAGCCAACCTCCTAATAGACAACAATCAGAGCAAGCACTGAAATAAGAGTATTCAACAGGAACAGAGCAACAACACAATGACCTGGGTTTGGTTTTTGGTTTTTTTTTTTGGTAAACTGTATTTCATTCCATTTGAGGAACTTCCTCCTCCTTACCACCATTCTGTAAGTAATAAGAGATAAAGGCGAGAGGTCATTGTCTTTATTTTACAGATAAGGAAACTGAGACCCAGAGAAACTGAGTCCAGCACCTCTAGTCCCTTCACTCATTTATGACACATCCAGTGTTAGCACCCAACCAAGTCTTCTGACTCTGCATCTTCTGCTTTTAATTCAAGCACACAATGCCATCTACCCACCCTAATTAGGGCTGACACCTCCTAATAAACCACTTAAAACACCATTAATCCAAAGAGCTTAAAGCATTTTCATACCTAATCTCATTTAAAAATAGTTCATTTTTAAGTTAGAAGTGTTCAAGTAAAGCAATGTTATTCTACATATAATCATGTTTACTAACTCACAATCTTAGATGTTAAATATTTTAAAAATTGTGTTTTAACTTAATAATATCCTGTTTTGCTTATGTCCCTTTCTCTTTCTTTTTCTGTGACATTTTAATTTTCATTCTTTCTCATGACCTCAGAACAAACTTACTAAAAGTCTGTGGGAAAGTATTATTATTATTCCCATTTGACAGAGGGACTGAAGGTCAACAACACAGGGCATTGTGAAGTAAGAGCTAGAGACCCAAATTAACCCAGTCCTCAAACTGGAGTAATGTTTCTTTAAAATATGTTTTTGTTATGCTAAGGAAGAAAACTCTTGTCTGACAGATGAAGTCTTGTAGAAATATGGAAAGGATACCATGACAAACAGTGCTCAATAATTGTGCCTCCCATGCATCTCTCCATTTTTTTTACTCAATACAAGCTTTTCTGTTGATCTGAAAGCAGAACGGCCAAAGCATCAGCTTAAGCCTTTTCTAGAAAAAAGCCCCCAAACCATCTACCAATAAATGTATCACCAGAGTGTTTTCTGTTGATTATCAGAACATGTTATAAATACAAGTATGGAAAAAAGATATGTAGATATGTAAAGTAATTTTTTTCTTTTACCTTTACCATAGGAACATATTCCTCTGGTGGGGCAGGCTGGATCTTGCTGGACATTTCTATGACAGCTTTCACCAGGCCGGTTACATTCTCATAGACCTTGTCATTGGAGCGGTCCAGATTGGCAGTAGGAGGGGGGCTGATTTCCTGGGGTTGCAGCTGAGGAGGGAAGGTGGTTATTTCTCATTTCTCCAGCAGAGGGAGGTCACATCACTTTTATTAAATCAAGATAGGCTTTCAACAGAGCTCAAAGCAGGTAAGAACACAAGCAAGTTTTATTTAGTGCATTGGACATTTGGTTTGAAGATGACATGGAAAGCAATTGATCTAAATCATAAACAATGGAGTTCATATTTTCTGACTTTGAGCTCAGTTAATGAAAGAAATGACAATCACATAAGCTATAAAAAACTCAAAGGTCATTCAGAGATGTGATCTAGTACGCCCAACAAAATGATCCATTGGAAAAGAATTGGCACACTTTACTCCTCTGTCAAGAGATCACAGATAGGCTCTATTTGTGGGCTGACTCTCTACTAGATTCTTTCTCAGTGGACCTCTGCTTAAGTGGTCATCCCACAGATGAGCCCCTCAGTGTAAGGAATTGGATACAGGGGAGGCAAGGAATGAAAGGGTGGGATTATGAATGGTGAATTAATTACATGAACTCCCTTTATACTTTAAAAGATGATATGCAGAACTTTTCTTTAAATAGGTGACTTTATTTCATAGAATGGTAGAATGTTAGTGCTGGAAGCAGAAATCATCTAATTTAATCTCCTAATTTTATAGATAAGGAAACAAGCCCAAAGAATGGAATTGATGTGTTCAAGGTCAAATATAGCCAGGACCTGAACTCGGGTTTCTTGACTTCAAGTTTAGTGTTTTGTCTCCAGACAGCTTTGAAATTATCACTATTTATCAATAACAACAAAATGCTAGAAATGGCCAGTGGAAAAGAACATAGGTTTTAGAGTTAGAACACCTAGATATGAACCCCAGCTCTGCTATTTTCCAGGCAAAACCCTTCCCCCTTCTATGGGCCTCAGTTTATTCATTTGTAAAATGGGGGAAGGAGTGGCCCAGAGTCCAGTGTTTCTTAAACTGTGGGTTGTGGCTGAAGGGGCTGCGAGTAGAAAAAGTTTAAGAAGCCCTGGACTAGACAAACACCAAGTAGGCAGAGACTTTAAAGGTCATCTAGTCTGACCCTATCACTTTACAGAGAAGGAAACTGAGGCCCTGAGAGGGGAAGGACTTCTCCAAGGTCACACAGCAGGGGGGCTGGGAGTCAAACCGAGGTCTCTTGACTCCTGATCTAGTGTTTTCTCCAGGACATCATGCAAGGTTCCTTCAATCTTGAAATGTAATGCAATGATCCCACACATGAGTACTGCAAAGTTGACAAAACGAATTAACATGTCCCCTTCTGTAAATCTCCAAAAGTAATTAATTTCAATTGATAAGGTTTTTAATCAACCACAAACAGAATAATATGATATTAAATGCCACCACCCAAGAATTACATATTAGTCTATTCATGAAACCGCTTCCAATTGTAGCCCTTTGATTATTTGGACAAGTTATGCCAACAGAGCACTGAAATACAAGAGGACAAGAGGAGTTCACTTATTGCAAAAATGTCCATTTCATTTCTGGGAAAATACAAACATTGGTTTTAGCAGTGCTATAAGTGAAAGGCTGTGAATTTAAAAAGTGTTTCCATGATCAAGGAAAAGTAACGTAACACTTGTTTCTTCCTATAATGGGTTACAGAATTGCATGCAAAGAAAACCTGGATATGACAGAAGAGAACAGCAGACACACAGATACATAATGTGCTTACCCTCCATGGCTATTGTTGAACGGAAGGTGAGGAAAAGTTAAAGGAGTTTATAGACGAAGGGGAAAAAAGAAAAACAATATTAATAAATGCAGCAGAAAACAACCCCACAACAAAACATGTGCAGGACAAAAAAGGAGCTAGTTCCAAAAGCCTGCAACACAGATGCATTTCATGATTCTCCCGGCATATTAGATGCTGCTCTGCTGGTTATGGAAGCATGGTGCCTGTGAAATCCGTTCCAATACAACAGCAGATTAAGTCAAAGAGGTTTGCCATGCATCCCATGCTCACTTGGTACAAAATAAACAGGGGAAAAAACATGCAAAGCTGGAGAGCAACAAATCAATCTGGCAAAAAGGTCAACAGAGTTAGGCATCTTTTCAAAGTGGGAAGTAGTGTGCAAGTTGACACTGATGAAACCAATCTAATGCCTAAAACATTCAGAAGAAACTCTGTAACGCCTCCATGAGCTTATGAAAACCCCTTTAAAGCCATATTTATTCACTCAATCAACATTAAGCCCTCCACTACATGTAATGCACTATGCTAAACACTGATGGAGATAGAAGGACTGATAAGAAATAGTCCCTGGTTCCATAAATGCAACCAACTATATTTCTAGAATCAAGTCTCCTGGTTAAGGATATTTAAACAGAATGGGAACTTCTTTTGGAGTGATTTCAGTGACTGGGATCTATAACTTAAAAAAAAAAAAAAAAAGGAAGCTGCCAGTACTCCTCTCAACATAATTTATTTTTTCATTTATTATTTATATAGTGAAATACCAGGACTATATTCCTATAACTAAATAGACATGAGTAAATTAATGTAGAAAGATTCCCCCTCCCTGGGTCATTTTACAAAGTGAATTTTCTGGCATGTGTATTTCAGAGATCCTTAGGTCAAAGAGATTCAAATTTCATTCGTACAAAGTAGGAAGCACAAATTTCTACCAGCCCAATTTCTAAGTGTGACTTCTATCCAGATGTCATAGGCTATGCACTGTGGATCACAGAAAGGGCTTTTTATTTTTAGCTGGTAGTAGTGTTTACCCAAATAAAAGCTGTATTAACATCTAGTTTAATTCGTGCAGACCTGATGAGGGTCTTTATAGGAAAATAGATAACTACTAGGAAAAAGGACTAGTCAAATGCACAAGAACGTATGTGCATTCAGAGAGAGTGAAGGTGGTGTTTGTTTGCATGAAACTTGAAGCTTTAACTCCTTTTGGGACTGACCAGTAAAGACACAAGCAGAAGCTGGCCACTAAGTGGCTATGCTTTTGCCATGGTGACCTGTAAGTAGCAGAAATGTCCTCAGATGACTGCTGGGGGAGGGATGTGTGTTTGCATGAAATCTGGAAATATTCCTGACATAAAGTCCTACTTCACTAGTGACAGGGAAGTTCTGGAAAACAAAGTTGCAGGCTTTAACATCTACTATTGGATCTTGTACTTTCTGAGACTTGGCAACTTGGAAAATTCCTGGCAATATTTTACTCTGAACCACTATGCTGTGCACACATGGGCATCTTCATTTGTGCTGATGTTGTGAGACACAAATAATTTCAGAATCAAAGAATAAAGTCTTCAAAGAAGAAACCAGAGAGATTTGGGGCTAAATGCTTTCTGAGTGAATGTACCATTCCAGAATTTCTGAGCTGAGTAGCTGTTTATGAAAATGCCATTTTCTTTTTCAGGCCAGAATCTGTATCTGACCTAACAAAAAATGGGGTCTATGAGACAGATGATGATTAAATATTTGTGAAAATGATTCATTACTCAAAAATTGATACCTCCTATGTTTTAAACAATCTTCTTATTTTCTAATAGGGTTTATTCTATTAACTTAGAAAACTATGCATCAAGACCTCCGCTGATGTCTCATCACAGAACAGAAAAAGCATTGGGTTCTCAAAGGCTAGGCTGGTAGAATAAAAGCAAGTTTTACTAAGTGGAAAGACCTCAAGTATGAATGAGTCGCATGATGGATTAGTGTGTCTGTCTTCTGAGAACTAGTTTAGCTAAGTCAATTGGTGACCAGGGGATGAATTTTCAGGTTAACCCAATTACTTATGAAATATAAAGGAACTATAATCAATGCCAGTGGAAAGAGAACTTAATTAAACAGATGGAACTTTGGACTTTTCAAAGTAACCATGTGATAATTATATGATCTTTTTCATGGATCATATTTGTACTAGGACTTTTGAGACCACAGAATCACAGCTGTGAATTTACTTCTAAAGTCCTTTTTTTCTTTAAGTATGAGATCACTGAAGAGGCAGCTAGGTGTTACAGTGAAAAAGCACCAGGTCTGGAGATAGAAGGATCTGAGTTCAAATCTGGCCTTAGGCACTTACTAGCTATGCGACCCTGGGCAAGTCACATAACGCTGTTTGCCTAATTTCCTCATTTGCAAAATGAGCTGGAGAAAGAGTATCTTTGTCAAGAAAAACCCCAAATGATGTCACAGAGGGTTGGACATGACTAAAATGACTCAACAACAACAAAAGAGTTCACTGAAATGGATAATTATGGCCTGTTACAAGGACCAGCAAAAACACTTCATTACTTTCACTTTTTTGTTCACCCTTTTATCTTAAAGAAATTATACTTGCATAGATGACAGAAATATTATTCCAGAACTCTGGTTAAAGCTACAAAAGTCCAAGACTGTCTTTGCTAGTTAATGATATTGGAAACTGAGTTTTAAGCTATAAACACCCCTAGGAACTTCGATGTACAATTTAAAATGTATATATTTATGTATGTATGTATGTATGTATGTACGTATGCATGTATCGAGCACTTCCAAATACAGGACCTAATATGAATTTTATTTGCTTACATGTTGAATACCCAGGAGGTGGCCATGTTTAGGTCATATTTCTTTATTTTAATAAGTGGAACTCTGATTTGAAACAGAAAAATAATAAGAGTTTCTCTTTAAATCACGTTGACATCCACAGAGTCAGTAAGCCTAGAGAATATCGTTTGCTCTTCAAGACTAGAAGAAGCTAAGTTGGCTCTGCATTTCAATGAATAAACAAACTTACTCACTGGGAAAGGAGAGAGATGTTTTCAGAGAAATAACAATACATCAATCACATTAAACTATAAAACACATAAAGTTTAAAAATGTTTACCACTCATTGGACAAATACTTGATTAAAGTGTTTTCTCACAAAACTGCAATCATTCTTTTTTTCTCCCTCTTTCAGCACTAACTTAAGAAATGAATGTCCCAGCTACTACATTGGCTTTTATATGCCCATGACTGGAATTTAAGGCCCTTCATGATATGCTACCACTTCACCTTTTTAGCCTTCTTTCATATTAATATTAACTCCATATGTTCTAGTCAATCCTAACTATTCTCTACTCCCCAAACACATCCTGCATTTTTAAAAAATATCTCCTACCTTTGCTCATGCTGTTTCCTAGGCTTTGGCTATCCTACCTCACCCTCACCCCCACTCCTATTCTTTGCTTATAGAATTCCTATTTTAGAAAGACTGATTAGAAAGTTTTGCTTGACCTATTCCCTCCCTCCCACTAGAATTAATGAATTTCCCGTTCAGATCCGAAACGGTACTTTATTTTGGAAATCTCTATTACACTTATCCTATAATATTGCATATCATAGCTATCTGTACTGAATTCTTCTCTCTCTACTGTATTGTGAGCTTAAGAATAGTTTGGGGCTCAGCTGAATTTTCACCCTTCCCACAGTGTGCTCTGCACACAAATGACACTTACCAAATGTTTGATTACTGTATCATAAATATGGTATGGACCACAAGCTCCATCATGTAGTGAGCACAATACATCTCACAATGGTTTGGAGGGACCTACCTTTACTCCTTCATTATAACTATCCACGGGGCTGTTGAGGCTGGCAAGGCTTCCCAGATGGCTGGGTGCTCCTGGGCGAGGTGGTTTCTTTGGTGGAGCTGCATGATCTAGGTTAGATGGAATGATTTATAATTATAGGTATATAAAAATTCCATAGGATTAGAAAGCAAGGATGGTTGTGATGGGCACCAGTAGAGGAGGTCCTTATAGTGAGATCACGAATTTCATAGCAGCATATCCAAATAAAAACCAATGTTAACACTGTTAACAATGTTAACACACTGAAATTGATCTTGAAGATGACATTCTATTGAGGTGTTTATTCTCAACATGTAGCACAGATACTGATTTACATTTTTTGATGATCGAGATTTTTTAAGGCCCTCAGTACTATTGAGGAGGGGAATCTGTTACGAACCATCATATCTGCTAAGGGACCTATGGAAAGGGGATGAAAACAGCACTAGGGCATTTTAAAACCTCTAAATCTATCAGATAATACCTTGCACATTTCCTAGAAACCTTGTGTGATGAGGTTAATTACATTTGCCAAGATTATAAAAAATTTAAAATGTTATCTGACCTACCTGGCTTACCCACAGGTTGATATATGTGCTGGTTACCAGTCTGTCAAAAAAAAATACGTATATTTTGTTTTACAAAGTCTAAATTCATTTAAAAATCACAAGAAGTCCAGAATGTGGAAGGGAGAATTGATTAGGGGATTAAAGATTTAGAGTTGAAAGGGAACTCAGAGGTCAATGAGTCTAAGTCCCTCATTTGATGACAGGATGAAAGTAAGGCCTAGAGAGATGAAATGACTTACGTAGGGTCACACAGCTAGTCTGCAGTGATATTTGAATTCAGATTTTCCTGATTCAAGTCTTAACCACTGATAAAATGAGAGTGTAGAACATTTTGTTGGGAAGCCTCTCAGGGACACTTCCCCAAGGATGATGCGTATGCCCATGAGTGCCTTGCTTGGAGGACGTGGGGAGTGTCAAGTGACTGGCTGATGAGTCCAGGGGAATGGACTCTTACTGGAGAAGCTGCCTGCTTCTGTAGGCTATAAAAGTAATGCAAGAGACTAGCTTTCTTCTCTTTTTCTCTTCAGGACTATTCTTTTTTTCTTTGAGCCTTTCTTCAGGAGTACAGCAAGGTAGGGGCAAGGGATTTTCATGCCCTTCTATCCCTCCCCCCAAAAACCATCACGGTTGAGAGCTGCATGTGCTGACTCTCAGCTCCTGCGTAAAGATCAGAGGCTGGTGTCCCTGAAACCAGAGCTGCTACCAAAAAAAAGTTCATGCCCTGTAATTTCAATAGATGGACTGGAAAATTCAACAAAATGATCCTGAACTTCTCTAATCTTTAGCTATATTATTCCCCTCAAATTCTTTTACAAAATTAATCTAATTTGCTTTTAAAACCCCAAACATTCCTCCTCATACGTGTCCTTTATTCATCATTTCATCAAATGATACTAAGCATTTATTTGTACTGAGATCTAGTTTTATTCTGACTCACTTCCAGATTACGTAGCAAGTACAAGAAAACCAACGTCCAAACAGCCCAGGACCTTTATTCTATGGTAGGGCTGTCCTCTGTCGGTGTGCCCTATTGAAGGGAGCACCTACATCCTAGGGCTGTCACGAGGATTAAATGAGATAGTATTTGTGAAGCACTTAGCATACTCTCTAGCACACAGTAGGAACTTTTTCTTCCCTCCCTTCCAATTGCTAACATGCTTGCTAGTAAGCTTTGCAACTTTTTGCAGAACAGGAAAAATGCCTTCCTAAAATACAGGGAAGTCTCACACAGATAAAGAGGTGTCAAGTAACAGCTGAGTCAATTCATTCCTCCGAAAACAAAATTTAAATACATCTAATTCAAGACTGTTACTATATATCACAGATCTCTCAAAGCTTTAGGAGCAGCAATTCTGCTTAATGAAGATTCTGATAGCAAACTACTTCATAGTAGTTACAATCTCTCCACTGGTATAGGACTGATTATTAAAATATTTTGAAATATGTTGGGCACCTATTTTAGCCTTTTATGTTGAGAATGAAAACCCAACTCAAATCTTATGAAACAGACTTAAAAATTCTGAGATAGTATCTCATGGGTGAACCACTATTTAAAACCAGCTAAAGACAATTGGTAAAACAGGTCTGGAATGAGTTCATAAGGTATATTCTTTAAAAAATTCTTAAAAAAAAACCATGTTGTTTTTCTTTGATCTCAGTATCTTTATTGTGATTCTTATTAAATCGGCTATGTAAATGGATTTAAATTGGTCCCTTTGACCTAAAACCTTTTTTTTAATGTTGGTTGTAAGCACAGACAATTTGGTTGACACTATTTTTCTGTCTTTACGCACACCCAACTGGTGGAATTACTGGCCATCATCTACTCTTAGTGGCTTGCAGATTGTGCCAGTGGGATTTGGAATCCGAGGATTTAGGTTTGATCACTTACTATTTGTGTGACCTTGGCTAACCAATCAGTCAACAAGAGTTTATCAAGTGTTTACTATGTGCCAAGCACTGTACTAGGGACTAGAGATACAAGTACAATTCCTACTCCCAAGGACCTTAGTTCTAATACAGAGACAATAAAGTGCTAAGTCGTTTAACTTCTATGGGCCTGAGTTTCATCTGGAAATGAGGAAGTTGGACATCTGAGATTCCTTCCAGTTCTTAAGTCTATGATCCTATGACCTTCTAGCTAAATTAAGTGGCAGAGTGGACAGTGTTGAATTTGGAATTCAGTTATGAGCTGTGTATCCCCAGGCAAGTTTTTTTTTTTTTAAACACATCTCTCAGCTTCAGTTTCCTCATCTGTAAAATGGGGATAATAACAGCACCTACCTCAAGGGTTGTTCTCAGTATTAAATGAAATAATATGTGGAGTACCTTAAAAAAATCTTAAAGCGATATGTAAATATTAGTTATTGCTATTATTATTAATACTATAAATGGCCCTCACTGACATTCCTCACTGACACTGTGGATCATTAGCTAATGATCCACAATAAAGTTATCATCTATCAGCTAAGTAATCAAACCACTAGGTTGTGGGATAGCATGGATAGGGGAAAACATTGAATTTGGAGTCAGGAGACATGTCTGAATCCTGTATCTTTACTTTCTGGCTACGTGGCCTTGGGCAAATCATTTACCTCTCTGAGCCTCAGTTTTCTTATCTATAAATCTTTCAAAACTTGGGTGGCTATAATTTATAGTCTTGGAGAGATTCAATGACTGGTCCATAGCCATATAGCTCACTTATAAAATAGATAAAGCAGCATTTGCCCTGCCAACTCTGAAGGGCTGTTAATTAGAACTGCTACTCCTTATGGTACATCTCCTCCTTCTTATAACAGAAAGGGACAATCTACTCAAATTAGGGTGTGTCAATTTGTCTATCTCCCAGTGTGTGGCACCTTGCTTTTAATAGGCATTTAAGTACTTTTAATTCCTTTTTCATGACACCTAACACCTTGCAGAGGTTTATTAATATTCCTTTTGAGCTAGGGAGAAGAGCACTGGATTCTAAGTCAGAGGATTTAGGAGCAAATTTTGGCTCTGTTATTTACTAGTTTCCTCATCTGCAAAGTAAGGTTGTCAGATTAAAGTAGTCTTATCACACTCAAATAGAAATGGATTCTCAAGGGCCCCATATTGATTTAGAAAATCACAAATTAACCCTACCTATGTTTTATTGTATTTTTATTTATTTCTCTGAACTAGATAATCTCTAATGTCCCTTCTAACTCTAAAATCTCTGTTCTATTATGTCAGAAAAATGATAGTCTACCAGAGAGAATTTATTAAGTGCCTACTATGTGCTAGATGCTATGTTAGATGCTAAGGCATCCGTGTGGCAGTGGAGAGAATGCTGGGCCTGGAGACAGGAAGATCTAGGTCAAATCCAGCCTTAGACTCTTACTAGCTGTGTGGCCGGGTAAGTCATTTAAAGTGCCTGCCTCAGTATTCTTATCTGAAAAATGGGGATTATAATAGCAGCACCTAGGGTTGTTGTAAGGATCAAATTAGATAATATTTGGAAAACCACAACACAATGCATGGTATGTAGAAGGCACTTAATAAATGCTTGTTTCCCTTCTTCCACAATGAGGTTATATTCAATCAAAGGAAACAACACATATACATATTAGCATCTGCAAAACATATACAAAATAATTTTAGGAGGAGTAGCTACAGGGAATCAGGTAAGGTCTCATGTAGTCAGAACTCAGCTTTGATAGAAACTAGGGATTCTAAAAGGGGGAGGTAAGGCCTGGAGCACAGCCTGTGCAAAGGCATGGAGATGAGAGATGGAAAGTTCTGTGTTTAGAGCAGCAAGAAGGTCAGCTTGGCTGGACTATAGAGTGCATGAAGAGAAGTAATGCAAAGTAAATCTGGTAAGGCAGTCTGGAATTAGACTAACTATGAAGGGCTTAGAATGATTAAGAGAAGTTGGTGTTTACTCTCGGGCTTCTAGGGAGCCAGTGGAGTTTATTATCATGGGAAGAACACAGCTGTTTTAGGACTATCCCTTTGGCATTTTTGTGGAGGTTGAATTGGACAGTGGAGAGAGTGGGAACAAGTATATGAATTAGGAAGCTACTGTAAGAGTGAAAAGTGATGAGAATTCGAATGAGGGTGGTGTGTGTGTGTAGGCAGAGAGGATACAGATAGGAGAGATGTGGATATTTGGCAAACATTACATATGTTGGGTAATGGATGTTAAAGAATTAAGGTTTGAGGCACACATGGTGCCCTTGACAGAAATAAGGAAGTTAGAAATAGGGTTGGGTGTAGGGGACAAGATAATGAGTTTTCTTTAGGACATGTTGAATCTGAGATGCATGGGACATTCAGTTTAGCTGTTTAATAGGTAGTTGGTAATATGAAGTTCAATGACTGGATATACAGATCTGTGAAACCATTTGCATTGAGATAATAACTGAATCCATGGAAGATGATGAAGTTACCAAGAGAGCACAGATGTCAAACGTGCAGAGCACTCCTGTGCGTGGCTGAGCCAGATTAAAATGTAACTGGGAAAGATTTAATGAAAGAAATAAAAATACAATAAAACATAGATAATGTTGATATGTGGCATTCTAATGCCACACATATATCTGCAGATATCTTTATGTATGATTTGATGTCTCCTGTTTCTGTTTGATACCATTAGTGTAAAGGGAAAGGAGAAGAGGGCCCAGGGTATCTTAGGATATACATACAATATGTTAGCAGGATACAGATGATGATCTAACAGAGGAGACTAAGAAGGGAAATAACATGTAGGAGGAGAGCCAAGACACTTCCAAAACAGACCTCCTCTTTTCCCTCAACCTCTTCCTAACTTCTTATTACCACCAAAGGTACTATCATTCTCCCAGCCACCCACGCTTGGTGTCATCCTTGAATCTTCACTCACACTCACCTCATGGATTGAGTCTACTGACCATTCTTACTGTTTCTACCTTCACAATATTGTGTGCATGTGTGTGTGTGCACACATGTATGGTGTTATTTGTATGTTTTATTTTCTATTACAATGGGAGCTCCTTGAAACAGGGTACTATGCTTTTGCTTTTCTTTATGTTCCCAGAACTCAACACAATGTAAGCATTTAATAAATGCTTGTTGACTAATCTCAAATCAGTGGAGCAAAATTGAGAAACTTCCTTCAGAAACACTAAGAGATGGACCAGGTGGGGGGGTGGGTAGAGAATAAGGAAGGTGTCCCTGTGCAGTGGGAAAGTGAAGTCACAGAACAAATATATAAGAAATAATATAGTATCCTATTAAAAGTGCTCAGTGGTAAAGGCAATCTTCTGTTTTTGTTTGCTGTGTTACAATTAAAATGGAGTGGGCTAGACTAAAGTTGATCAGTTATAATAGTTCACAGTGTGGTCTATAAATACATGTGTATGTGTATGTGTATGTGTGTGTGTGTGTGTATGTGTATGTATGTGTGTGTGCAAACTGATTTATTTTGATTCAGATATCTTCTCTGGATCCCATCTCTAAAGCAATTGATGGAACAGAGAAAGGCAAATTCAATTTCTTATTAGAAAGGACACCTGTGTACATTTGACTGCATCTGTTTATGGAAATAAACATTCTTTCATTATTATAAAAATCAGCATTTATATCAGATGAGAAACATATTTGAAATTACCTCAAACTCTTTCTCATAAGGAGAATTTTAGGTATCTCTTAGGGGAATGCCAAGAAGGAAAAATGCTATGTGAACAAGTTTAATTTTCATGCTGTTTCTACATAAAGTCAAGATGTTGGAAGCTCTCATGATCTCATAGTGACAGGAAATTTGAGTATATGCCATACAACTTTCTACATAGAATCAGTAATCATATGCACAGCGCATATATTCTGTTAAGACACAAAAAAAATCAGTTTATTGTTTGTTGAAAGGCCCCTCATGTTAATATATTGCCAACTACATTTCTTGAGTTTTATGTGAAAAATCTGGACTTTTAATTATTTTGGCTACAGAAGGAATTTTCATTCCATAGCATTTGAGTTCTTGGCCTCACATTAGAAATCCTGACAATTTTGAAAATTTTACATGGCAAACTTTGATCCATGTTAAATTAGAAATTAAAAAAAAAACAGATCAAAAACTCTTTTTGTATTTGCTTACCTGACCCTGAAGACTTCCATCTTCTCGGTCAATGCTGCCTCGAGAGAGCCTCACATCAGGTTTCTAGAAAACAGAAAACCCCCACAGTTTCACGTTCTGATTTACAAAACAATATGCAAAATTGAAATAAATACCTGTGTATTAAATGCCTCCCAGAGCCAGGAAAATAAACTTGTGAACCAAGTCAGCTGAACTTACCCAGTTTTAGAAATATATAGCAATATAAACATTGCAAAGTGCCCTTATCACTGTCTGCACAGGCATGCTTACACAAATGCTGACTACATCATTGCCCCAATGTAACAACTGGGAAAATCATCATTTTATTTCACTTTGTGGCAGCCAAGCACTTTCACAGGGGATATGTTTTCTTTCTAACAAGAGAAAAAATTTGAGCTTAAGATTAGAAATATGGCACATTCATTGCTGTTCCTAGCAAGGAGTAAGCTTATGTGAATTGAGCTGTTTTGCTAAAATGGCAAATGGGGCCAATTTCATTGAAAATGACATCCAGGATCCAGAAAGCTCATAAAAAAGCTGGATCTAATCTTTCTCTAGGTTCTAAGAGTAAACAAGCTTTACTGTTACTAGAATGAACAAGCTAGTTTACATGACATTTTAGGGGAGGGACTAAAAACACAAAACCAAGTATAACTAAAGAACATCCATAACAAAACCCCTCTGAGATAACAGATTCTTTCCAGTCTTGGAACGCACACAACAAAAGCACAGACATTCAGAGTTCATCTGTTTCAACCCCTACCCCAAGGAGGATCTCAACTACAGTCCACCTGACAATCAGTCTCTGTGGGAAGCCTTGATGAGGCAAACTGACTCAGTCCACCAGCCAGTTAGTGAGCATTTATTAAGAGCTTACACGTGCCAGGCATTGTGCTTAAACACTGGGGATACAAAGAGAGGCCTACTCTCAAGGAGTGCACAGTCTACATGAAAACGAACATATAAAAATAAGATATATACACGATAAATTGAAGATGACTGACAGAGGGAAGGCTCTAGCATTAAGGGGCATTGGAAAAGGCTTCTCATAAAAGATGGGATTTTGGCTGGGACTTGAAGCCAGAAAAGCTAAGAGGCAGACATGAGGAGGGAGAGCATTCCAAGCCTGCAGGATGGACAGAGAAAATGCCTGGAGCCCAGAGATGGACAGTCTTATTTGTGCAACAGCTAGCAGGCCACGGTTACTGGATCAAAGAGGATGTGGTACAGTGTAAAGTTTAACACGACTGGAAAGGTAGGAGACCTGGGCCTAGGCTATGAAGGGCTCTGAAAACAAAACAGAGTATTATGCAGTTGATCTTGGAGGTGACAGGGAGTCACTGGAGTTTAGTGGCTATGGGGATGACACAACTACGTCCTCGGCCAGTCCATTTCATTTTTGGATGGCCTGAATTCCTTAGTTCTGCCCTCTGAGGTTAAGCAGAAACGTGATCTAATCCATCTTCCAAATGATAGACCTTCCAAGTACTTGCAAAGAACTATCATGTCCTCCCTGAGTTTTCCAATCTCCAGGCTAACCAGGAACCAGGGTTCCTTCTTGGGATGTGGTCTCAGAATTCCCCTCCATTGTAGTTGCCATCCTTTGTATTCTAACTAACCAATGTCCTCCCTAAACTGTGGCATATAGAACCAAACCCAACACTTCAGATAAAATATGACTAAAGCAGTTTCACCTTATTCCTGGAGGTTACACTTTTTTTTCTTTTTGCCTTGTGGTGAGGTAATCAGGGTTAAGTGACTTGCCCAGGGTCACCCAGCTAGTAAGTATCAAGTGTCTGAGGTCACATTTGAACGCAGGTCCTCCTGACTCCAAAGCCGGAGTGCTATCCACTGCACCACGTAGCTGCCCCAAGGTTATACTTCTTAATGTGGCCCAACATCACAAGAGGATTTTAATCTTGGAAGGGATCAGACTCATCTTTTTATTTGTGTACCAGAGCCTCTAATTTTGGTGCTTAAAAAATGGCCTAAGCACACATTTTATGAAAGTACGAATTTATGGAAAGCCTGGATGAATTTTCCCCAAACTTGGGGATCCTAATGTATACATAAAAAAAATTAATTTTGACCACAACTAGTATAATTTTGAGTACTGATTTTCTTGATCAAATTTACCTTGTTTCTTGAATTTATTATCTCTAAAGTTTGTGCACATCAAATTGATAAATTTTACATGTAAGTAAATTCCAGTTCAATAAGATTAACTATTAGTATTTCTTTTACTGAACTGCTTTCCTCACAGGAACTGACCCAAACCAAAGACCAGAACACTGGACTTGGGAGCCAGATGATCTGGCTTCAAGTGCTGGCTCTTTCATTTACTACCTTTTGGCCCTGGACACATTATTTACTTTCTTTGGGTTTCAATTCGCTCAACAACAAAAGTGGAATAACAATCCTTGCAATACCTACTTCAGAGGGTAGCTGTGTACATTAAGTGAAATAAGATGGTAGAAATGAAATAAGATGGTACAAAGTGACATATGGTAGTAAATAATCACGATATACTAATGTGATTTCTTGTTAATCAGTCAAACAACTGAATGGACACAGTAGGCGTGTGAAAGAAAACGAAGAGTCAAGCATGACAGAACTGTGAACCTTGGTGACCAGAATGATAACTTCATCCTTCAAAAGGTGGAAGTACAAAGAAGGGGAAATCGTATTCAGGTTTTGATTCTCACAAACAAGGAAGATGAAAGAATCTGTTATGCACCATAGCTATTATGACATGAGGTTTCAAAGTGCTCAGAAGAAGGATAGATCCTATGGACTAAAATTCTACAGGGGAAGTTATCCCCAGAGGGTTGAGAAGCTCTCAACAATGGGGTTCTGAAGACAAAAAGAGAAGAAATTCTGATGAGGAGCAAAAGCAGTAATGGTCTGAGGACATGGATGTGCTTAACAGAGGGAATTCACCAAGCAACTTAGATTGACCAAAAAAAAAAAAAAGGCATGTACAGAAGATAGAAGCAGGGGTAGGTAAAAGAAGATGAATATACAAGTGTTATATGCATGATTTATGAAATAGTATCAGAATGAACTGAGGCTGGTGAGGAAAGCTAAAGACTTAAAAGCTGTACTGGGGAAAAGAGTTTGATGGGATGATGATAACTCATAATAGGTACAAGGTAGAACTAGTCAACTTAAATTTTACTTTTGTTTTCTCTGCTAAGGAGAGTAATCTTTCTGGAAAGGCTAGAACAAAATGGCTAATAGAGAACTGATAACAAAGAGAATTCACTATCAATTCCCCATCCCCCAAAACCCACAAATGAAGACAAACCCTCTTCTCCTAACTTCTCTGTGTCCACAGAAGGTATGCCCATGACCATGTCCAGTTACCAAGGTCCACAATGTCAGTCAATATTGACTCCTCACTTCCTCACTCCTATGCCCAAACAGTTGCCAAATCTTGATTCAATTTCCACATTTCTTGCATTCATTTCCCTCTCTCCACTCTTATGGCTATTACTCGTTTTAGGTCTTTATCATCTCATGTCTATATGAAATCAATAGCCTCATACTTGGATTCTGGAAGTCCAGTGTCCTCTCTTTCGTCTATCCTCCAAACAGCTGACAAAATAATCTTCCTAAATCAAGGATTTACCATGTTGTACCCCTGAGAACTGTCAGTGGCTTCCAATTGCTTCTTAAATAAAATATAAACTCGCTTTGGTTTTTAATGTCCTTTGTAGTCTGGTTTGGTTCTAGTTTACACTTCCTGGCTTATTTCACATTATTCCTCTTCATTCTTTCCGGGAAAAGTAGATGACATAACTGTTTCTCAAACTGGGCATGCCATCTCCTCTGTCCCTGCCTTTGACTCACGCTGTCTTAACATGACTAGAATGAATTTCCTCCTCCATCTCGTAGAAGTCCTACTTTAGTTTATGTACTACCTCTTAGAGGCAGCTAGGTGGTGCAGCGTATAGTGTAGTGGCCCTGGAGTTAGAAAGATGACTTCAACTCCGGCCTCAGACACTGTATCAGTTTGGACAAGCCACTTAACTGCTGTTTGCTTCAGTTTCCTTAGCTGTAAAATGGGGATAATAATAGCACCTACCTCTCAGGGTTGTTGTGAGATTAGATGAAATATTTGTAAAGTGCTTAGCACAGTGCCTGGCACTTGGCAGGCACTTAGTAAATGCTTGTTTTCTTTTTTTTCCTAAAGGTAGCCTTTTCTCTTCTTTTCCCCTTAAGTTTAATGGTTTTTTTCAATTAACAAAAATCTATCTTTTTTCCTTTCTTTCACCCCTCTTTCCTGGTTTCCTTCAAGATCCACCAAAAATGCCACCTTCTACAAGAAGCTTTTCCTGATCCCTCTTGATTCTAGTGCCTTCTCTCTGTTGATAATTTCCCATTTACTGTTTATAATTTGTCTGTACATATTTGTTTCCTTATGATACCCCACACTGGACCGTGAGCTCCTTGACAGCAGACCGTCTTTTGCCTTTCTTTGTATCCCTAGTGCTTAGTACAGTGCCTGACACATAGTAGGCACTTAATGAAGACTTACTGACTGACTCAAATACACAGTCAAGCAAACTAAATTCCTACTTTGCCTCCCTCCTCTCCCCTCCATATTTCTTAATCAGCACCTTCAGTCTATCACCTTTCTGTCAGGAGGCAGATAGCATGTTTCATTATGAGTTCTCTGAAGTCAAGGTGGACCACCGAAGTTGACCAGAGTTCTTAAGTCTTTCAAAATTGTTTTTCTTTATAATGTTGTTATTATATAAATTTTTTCTCCTAGTTCTGCTCCATCTTTTACATGTAGTATTCTTTGAGTAAAATGTAGCTTCCTTGAAGGCAAGGACTATTTTTTTTGTTTTTGTCTTTGCATTCCTAGCACAATGTCTTGCACATTGAAAGCGCTGCTGAAATGCTAGTTGGGTAGCAGTAGTAGATCAGTAGTACAGCTGAGCTCTCCCCAACAACTACTCCACAAAGCACATCTAGAAAATGCATCAGACCAATTTCTGATCGGGAAATTTAAGAAAAAAATTCCAGCCCAGGTGGGCATAAGGAGACAAAGAGTC